CGATTGTTCTCCTGAGTAGTTTTCAGAATTCCAGTGAGCTGAGAATGTACCGAGTGCAAGGACTGCTAGACCAACTGTTGTGAGCGTGAAGAGAGTGTGATTGGAGATGCGCATCTTGAATTGATTTCCTTCAAGTGTTTTGAGCTCGGGAGATGGAAGATTTCTTCAACTAGACCAGCCAGTCAGTTCGTAGTTTGTCAGCTTTTGAAATTCGTGGCCGTCTGCTTCTTGATTTTTTTTCACTGTCTTCTGAGTTGCCTGTTCTTTCTATTACCAAGTCGTGTCTCAATTTATTGATGTGAGGTCTCTGAAGGTTTCTCTGAGTATTACTGAGTTTGTTATTTTGTCACTTTCCAAATGACGAGGAAAGTTCTATGCCCGAGAGATATATCGGATGTCGTTCAGTTCGCAGGGCGGTATTCCTCTTGAAAGCTCAAAAGACAGAGAAAGAAGTTAAGGCAGAGCTTTAAATTTCGAGTCAAGCTGGTCACTCTCGCGGATATCTCTCGAGTGATTTTACAAAGTTTATAAACCAAGAGTATATGTTATTATTTACACTCAACTAATTTATTTAACAAAGTTATTAGCAAGGTTGGCCACTCTGTTTTTCATCGCCAAGCCTTTTTCGGAGTTTATTAATTGAGTTCAAATGTTCACTTCCTGTTTCTTCGTAATGATGTTTGGTTGTCCCCTCGTTCACATCTTCTTGTTGTCTCACAGAAGTTTTCCACATAATGGCTTTATCCTTCTCATACTGTGGCATCGGGACTGGAATTGCGTGGAAGACCGTAAATGAAGTTTGCCGTGATGCTAGTGGAATGGCAATCTTCATTAGCAAGCCTTCTTTGATAGTGACCACGTCGGTAAGATGCTGGGCTTCATAGTAGGATAGAATTTCGTCCATCGGAATGGCTAGTGAAAGTTGATCACGGGCATGGCTTTGCATTTTTGAAACGTCTTCTAGAATTTTAATCAATGAGTCTCGTGGGACTAGCGACATTGGCAGAAATTTATTCAGCAAAGACGGAATCGAGTTAAGCATGTTGATGCGATAGGAGTAGAGAGCTGATCGGTACGATTTCACATTTGCAAAAGTAATCGCAAGCAGCGAGGAGACCGTATCATAATTGAAGTTAATCTACTGTCTTGTGAACAAAAGTTGATCAAAGTCCCGTAGAATGTGAAAGTTTTGCTTAAAAACTTCAAAGTGCTCGCGAATAACTTCCCAGTTTCGATTTTGGATTTGTATCACTTCGTCTTGTGCCTGTTTTGTCGAACTTAACTCACTCGTTACCACGAAAAATTTTTCATCTAGATTTTCTGCAAACGTATAGACATTTTCAGCTATTTGGCTGGCGAAGTCAGAGAGTCTGACAATGTTTTCAGCATTTTCTTTAGACTTATCATTGCAGGATCAAAAAATTCCTCGTAGTCCACAATCTGCTGTTTTTCCTAGTAGAATTCCACCTCCAAAAAGTCCAACTGATGCTAGGGCTGCAATCGCTAAGGCGGGTGCTCGTTTTTGCCTCAGATTGGATGTTTGTTGTTGTTAATGGAGAAATGAGGCTGTATATTTGCGCAGGGACGTAACTTTCTGTTTTGCTAAAGAAACCTCGTTTTTCACTTGGTGAAGTAGCCAGTCGACATCAAAGGTTGAATAGTTTTTAGTGAAATTGGACGAAAAGTCCAAATGCCAAAATAAGCTGGGTTGCCTCCACATTTCAGCTAGTTTTTTTCCAGAAGTCGTCAAGTTCATCTCGGATATTTAGTTCAAATTTTGGGAAAGGGACTAGAAATTCAATTGGAATGAATTTTTCTGCTAATAGAATTTTCGATTCGTAAATGATGATTATCCCGTTTTCTAGAACTGTCTCCGATTGTTCTCCTGAGTAGTTTTCAGAATTCCAGTGAGCTGAGAATGTACCGAGTGCAAGGAGTGCTAGACCAACTGTTGTGAGCGTGAAGAGAGTGTAATTGGAGATGCGCATCTTGAATTGATTTCCTTCAAGTGTTTTGAGCTCGGGAGATGGAAGACTTCTTCAACTAGACCAGTTCGTAGTTTGTCAGCTTTTGAAATTAGTGGCCGTCTGCTTCTTGTTTTTTTTTCCACTGTCTTCTGAGTTGCCTGTTCTTTCTATTACCAAGTCGTGTCTCAATTTATTGATGTGAGGTCTCTGAAGGTTTCTCTGAGTATTACTGAGTTTGTTATTTTGTCACTTTCCAAATGACGAGGAAAATTCTATGCCCGAGAGATATATCGGATGTTGTTCAGTTCGCAGGGCGGTATTCCTCTTGAAAGCTCAAAAGACAGAGAAAGAAGTTAAGGCAGAGCTTTAAATTTCGAGTCAAGCTGGTCACTCGCGGATATCTCTCGAGTGATTTTACAAAGTTTATAAACCAAGAGTATATGTTATTATTTACACTCATCTAATTTATTTAACAAAGTTATTAGCAAGGTTGGCCACTCTGTTTTTCATCGCCAAGCCTTTTTCGGAGTTTATTAATTGAGTTCAAATGTTCACTTCCTGTTTCTTCGTAATGATGTTTGCTTGTCCCCTCGTTCACATCTTCTTGTTGTCTCACAGAAAATATAGTTCGTGATCGTAAATACCAAATAGGGCCTTGAAGTAATTTGGTTGGGTCATTTAATGAATCACACCCATAAATGGAATTTAGGGATGTGACAACAACCCTCTACCTCTTTATCGCGCTTTTGATGTTCACATCACAATCGTGGGCGGAAAGAAAAATTGAGGAAAATAACAAAGACGGTTTTCGACGGTTTTTTTTTCTGTTAACAAATTCAAATTTTTAATGGACAACTTTGGACAAATTTTCATAACAACCAAAAAAATAACGAGGCCTTGAGCTCAAATTTAAAAACTATTTCACCAGCTATCAAGTTCGGGGGTTTGCAAAATTCCAATTTGGGATAATTATATATTTCGTGCTATTAATGCCTAAGTGCCGATTTGATCTGGCTCAGAAACCATTCCAAAATGAGTTGAGGCAAGCTACTTGGTCTTATCAATACGTACCTAGACGCTAAAAACAATACTTTGTACTTTTCATAGCGTGCACGGAAAAAATTGTTAACACAGAGATAACACACAATTATAGCATTAAAAGCTAGAGGACAGAAAAGGAAGCGGAAGCCAATCAGTCGACAAAAGCATTTTAAAAAATGCCAAAAAAATGCATCTACAAAATTTTTTTAGGTGTGCCTCAAAAATATTGAATTTGCAAAAAACATGTCGAAAAACAGAATTGCCAGCGTTGAATGAGCATTCAGAATAATCAATATTTTGAGTGGCAGCTAAGCGACAACACACAACACATGGGTAGACGACAGTTGAACGAAAAACAATGGTAGCTAAGAAAAAAGGAAACACGAAAGGATAAAAATCTAAACAACGCAATATTAGGTGAGAAAGCCAATATAAAATAAAAGAAACCACTTAAGTTGAATATTTGTTTTATGTGAACACAAAGCAAAAGGGAAATTGTACAAAATCAGGGCAGGTAAATTCACTAACTACATAAATAAATCAAAATGACTTTCAAATAAAGTAAAAATTGTTTAAATCACAAAAAAACGCAATATGGCAACCAAGCCGTCAAGAATAAGAGGAGTCGCAATAGGCCGACAAAGTTTGTTCCAAGAAATTTGCAAAAAGAAAGGTTCTGGCCGGATTCGAGCTCAGGACCTAGGTTGATCAAGGCACAGACGTTACAGCTAGCTAGTCCAAGTGTGGGGAATAAGGCTTGGATCATGAACTTAAAAAACAGCAATTCCGAAATAACTCAATGATTCTGACAAATTAATTCAATGATTCTGATTGCAAGCGTAAAATTTTTTTTTTTTTAAATTCTTAACGTACCAATTATTTAAATTAAAACCAATTCGTAGACTAGAGACCATTCAGGGTTTAGCCTTGATACGAGCAGTCTTGCTTTGTAGTTATTGCTTAAATTTTGAGCTATTACTCTCGAATACGCACAATAAATTTTCTTTTATTAAAAATTTGAAGGATATGCTTACAGGAGGTTTCAGCGTCAAAATACAGTTTTATCAAGCAAATACAATTTTAACTGGCATTTTCGGCCACTGTCTCAAACCAATGTTGATTGAACAAAACGAGGACTGCCAACACATGGGCAATTTCTCTGAAAGTAGCCAATTAGATTAGAAACAAATTCATAATTTTTCTTCAGAGTGACAGCGATATAAATCTACAGTTTAGGTCACTGCAGCTGTGTTAGACAGAAAACATGAAAATAAACTTTCGATAATCACTAGACAATTAATAATATTTATAACAAAGCATATAAGAGCAGGAATTCACTAACAGTATTAAAGTATAAGCGCTAAGAGGTCATGGATAATAATGCAAGGCTTAACAAAGTTCAATTTGTTTGATATACTATTTTGAAGCCCTTCCACTGGTTATAAAGATAACAATGAAAAATTCCGAAGACATTTTCACCATGTTCAGGGAAAATTGCTTACATAATTTTGCTTTAGAACATTAAATAGAACCTTATGCGGAGTAGAGATAAAATTATAATAACTTAAGTATTTTTCAAACTTTTTTAAACCTATATTTTATTACTTCATCACAAGCCTCCCTCTTTTGGGGAATCCAAAAACTGGGAAAAAGTCAAAAATTTAGTTGAACTTTCAGTTTAAGTTCAATATCAACTAAGGTCGGAACATCGTGTCTGTGATACCGACTAGTCTGGTTTTATTAAATGCTCAGTGT